ATTTTTTCCTGTTTTCTTCTCCTAAAAATTTGGTGCGTCTTATGGAGAGGTGCGTCTTATGGAGCGAAAAATACGGTAATTTTTTTAAAAAAATAAAGTTAAGGGGCTGCAGTGTCCGATAAGCCAAGAGAGAAAATAAATCAGCAACACATAGTAGCCAGCCATTACAATTCAAATTGAAGAAGACGAATCAGCAACGTTAAAACATATTGGAATGCTCATCCAGATATATATATACCATGTGATCATGATGCATTGTAAATGTAAAAATATGGAATGTTTGATCGAAAATGGGGATCTACCACTGAACACCCCTCCTGAATAAAGGTGAACTATGCCTGTGGTCACTTTGGCAATTTGAATCCATTTCTATCCAGGCTTTTTAAAAAATCAGGTTCAAATCACGTGACATTTGAACTGGTGGCCTCATTCTCCTGCACTGAATGGAAACTGACTTGTTTCTGGTGATTTAAACTGGTTTGGCATCTACACTGCTGAAAATGATTCATTTTCACAAAAGTGCATTGAATTGAATCAATTTAGGAGTGAAGTATTTTTAAAAGCCCCTATTGGCCAGCTGAAAAAACTCTTTTTGCAGCCCATATAAATTGATTTCACCCTTGCATCGCATGAACAATAAAATCTAAATAGATTTAAATGACATTTAAGTAAAGTTCTTATTGGCAGTGTGACTACAGCTTATGATGTGTCAGAAACTCAGCTTCCTTTCTTCTTTCCACCCATCCATCCATCATCTGCCCTTCCTTCCTTCCTTCCTTCCTTCCTTCCTTCCTTCCTTCCAACACCATCTTTCTCCTTCAAAAAGAACCAAGGCAGCTTGTTGTTTAAAAGCAAAAAGAGTAAGTATACATTTTTTTAAAAAAAATCAAACAAATACCACACAAAAATGGCAAACAAAATCAATACCAAAAACACAGTTAAAAGCAACAGGGCACAAGAATCCATTTTAAAACCCCTCTCAGGCAGCCAGTCACTCAGGGAAACCTTGCCCGAAGAGAAAAGTCTTCACCTTCACTTGAGAAAGAGCCATGTCAGTTTTACAAGTTGAAGATTATGTGGTCACAACTTGTATACAACAATTTGCAAAACTGAAGGTCTTGTCTAAGAGAGGACTCTGGAAAACGGGGCTGTTGTTGTTGCTTTTTCAATTTAAAGTTTCAATATTGTTTGTTTCAATATTGTAAACAGCTTGGGGTCCTTTTGAGGAGGTGCGTGTGTTTTTATAAATATTTTAAATAAATAAATAATAACAAATCTTGCCAAATTCGTCTGGGATTCTTTGCTCGCTGGGCCTCCTCCTAACCGTCCTTCTGCCGGCTGGTCAAACTCTTCCTTTTTAAGCTGGCCTTGGATCTCTGGATATACTGGCAGGATTGCCTTTTTTAAGAGGATGCCGTGCATCTTTTATCAGGTGTTTCAAAATTATTTTAATTTGCTTTAACGAATGATGTTAAATGGGTTTTAATGAATGATGTTTAGGTTTCATCGTATTTTAATATGAATGGCTTTATCCAGGGTATATATTGATCTTTTGGCTGTTCTGCACCAACTTGATTCTCTTGCTTGGGAGAAAGGCAGAATAGAAATAAAGCAAACAAAGTAAGTAAATACATAAAAGCTGACACACCAAGCACACGGTAGAGGCTTGTGTTTTCATTACCTTTAACCTTGAGGTGGAACTTGGCAAAGGCTGCTCCTGAGACTACTTGAATATCGTGGAGTTCGTCCAGGACCTGGGGCAGCTGTTCCTCCTCCGTCATGGATTCTGCTCCTTCTTGTTCTCGGCTGGTTCACAAGGGGGGGAAAGGTAACTTTTGACATGCAGCCCAAGGCCTTTATGGCCACGCACACATTGAAGTGATATACAAAACACGAAGGATGCCATTAGAGATTGGTACGAATCGCTGTTCGATGCGTCAAAGCCCTGCCAGAGGCCCCAGCTTCCCTGCCTCGCCTCCTCCAGTCGCTGCCCCTGAGTCCCCGGCGGGTGCCCCCCCAGAGGCCCCAGCTTCCCTGCCCCGCCTCCTCCAGTCGCTGCCCCTGATGGGCGGCTGCCAGAGGAGGCAGGGCTTAGACGCACCAAACACCTGTTCAGCCAAGAGAAGAACTGGCATGAACCACCGAACCAGTGGTTTGTGGTGGATGTAACGAATACCTGCAAATTTCCTCATCCTCAAATAAAAAAGGGGCATGTGATACATTGAAATTACCCTACTGAAAACAGTTGCAAAATTTTTCATTCTTTCATGAACCTGAAAAGCCCAGGGGTTTTGGGGTTTTTCCCCCCCCCAGGAGCCCGGGGGGGGGGGGGGAATTTTGCACAAATACTGTATTTTGTACAAAAATGCACTAGCATTTTGTACATTAATACAGAAGTATTTTGGGGGGAAATCCTTGCATTTTTGTGCAAAATATTTGGGTTTGCAAAACCAGTGGTTTGTGGTGGATGTAACGAATACCTGCAAATTTCCTCATCCTCAAATAAAAAAGGGGCATGTGATACATTGAAATTACCCTACTGAAAACAGTTGCAAAGTTTTTCATTCTTGCATGAACCTGAAAAGACCAGAGGTTTGGGGCTTTTTCTCCCCCTCAGCAGCACTGGTTAAAAAAGAATAAAATGGGGGGGGGGGATTTTGCACAAATACTGTAATTTGTACAAAAATGCATTAGCATTTTGTACATTAATACACAAGTATTGGGGGGGAATCCTTGCATTTTTGTGCAAAATATTAGTTTTTTTGCATAACATACAAAGGGGCATTTTGCATAAAATTTAAAACTTTTCTGGAAAACGGAAGATGTATTTTCCACAAAATAAAATAAAAAAGTGTGAAAAATGCAACAGAAATGCTCATAACCTCAACGAGGAAGAGAAAACTTTTGACATTGTTCCATTAGGATCGGCGAGGACGAAATACGAAAACAGAAATCCTTTCCAGAACATTGTGAGCATTTTTACCTGGACAAATAGCCTTTGGCGCTGTAGTAAGAAGAAGTTTCAGTTGCATCCGCTGCCGTATCGTAATCCGTACTGGTCACTAAAGGATGAGAAAGAAAGGAAAAAGAAAGAAAGAAATCCACGCGTTGTGAGCTGCTCTGGTTCTCATCTAGACATTTGGGAGAACGAGAGGGTGGGTCTGCTGTCAACGCCACTGCCCACTCTTTCCTGGAGGGTCTCAGAAGCAAGAGGCCTCCTCTCCTCACTGCTGGAGAAAGGTGGGGGTCAAAACATTTTAAATACACTAAATAAAAAAAAACAAATTGTAAAGTAAAAAGATACAGGGACATGGTGGTGCAGAAGCCTCTGGGCTGCGAGGTCAGAAGACCAGCCATCGTAAGATCAAATCCACGTGACGGAGGGAGCTCCCGTTGCTTGTCCCAGCTCCTGCCAACCTAGCCATTCGAAAGCATGTAAAAATGCAAGTAGATAAATAGGGACCACCTCGGTGGGAAGGTCACGGCGTTCTGTGTCTAGTCGCGCTAGTTGCGCGACCACGGAAACTGTCTATGGACAAAACGCTGGCTCTACGGCTTGGAGACAGGGATGAGCGTCGCGCCCTAGAGTTGGACACGACTGGACTCAATGTCATGGGGAACCTTTACCTTTACCTAAAGTAAAAAAATTATTATGACAGAGTCACTTCTGGCTTGTGTTTCCACTGGAAAAGTGGCTCTGTCTCAAAACATTCCAGGACATCTAAGTATCTGGGGGTCACAGAAACATAGAATCAAAGCATAATGCAGTTGGAGGGGGGCCTCTAAGGTCATCAAGTCCAACCTCCTACTCAAAGCTGGAATCCAAATCAAAGCAGATCTGACAGAGGGCTGTCCGATTTTCTCTTAAATGCGTCCAGCACTGGAGCGCTCACCACCTCTTGAGGCCAATGGTTCCATTGTCGTACTGCTCTAACAGTTAGGAAGTTTTTCCTGATAGTCAGCCTAAATCTGGCTTCCTCTAGCTTGAGCCCATTTTACCCACATCCTCGTTATCCTCCCCTTTTGAACATCACTCTTTCCCATGGCCCCACCCCCCTCCCCACAACTCACAATCCACTCTCAGCTCGGCTTTTGTGGAAGAGACCCCCATGCTGTTTTCCGCCAGGCAACGATACACGCCCATGTCGAGAGGGTTGACGGCAGTAATGATCAACTGGTGGCAGCCTTCTTGGTCCTCGTTGATCATGTAGTGATCGTCCTCTTCGATGGCTCTCCCGTCCTTGAACCACCGAACCGTAGGCGTTGGCTTGCCAATCACAACGCAATCAAAGCTGACCGGATAGCCGTCCTGCACCTCTTGGTTTTGAAGTTCAGTGATGAAGACAGGAGCTGGAATTGTTTTCATATTTGCAATTAATCCCAACAACAAACTCTTTATATGGTTGCAGATCCTGTTTTTGAGACATGACTGTTTTTTTGAAAAGTATGAAAGGAATCTCTGTATTAACTTCATTATCCCCACACAAATGGAGTAATGATTTGTTCTACTTTTGTGTTTATCTTCCCTTGTTCTTCTTCATTTTTTCTGTTACTGTTGGAGCAGAATCTTGCAAATAATTTGACTTAATTTTATAAACTGCAATACAGTGGGGTCTTGACTTGAGAACTTAATCCGTATTGGAAGGCGGTTCTCAAGTCAAAAAGTCTGTAAGTCAAGCCATCTGTAAGTCAAGGGTCCACTGTACACCATTTAACAATAACAAAAGACCCATAACTAACCATCGCTGTTCTGAAATACAACTTTAAACCGTTGTTCATTATTAGATAGCCCCACCAAAATCCAGAAGAAAATAGTGGATGATTTTATTTTATGTGGATTTTGAACCTTTGCTACTCCAGCATCGTCTTAAGCAACTGTTTCATGTCACACACACACACACACACACACACAGAGAGAGAGAGAGAGAGAGAGAGAGAGAGAGAGAGAGAGAGAGAGAGAGAGAGAGAGAGAAATAGAATCCAGCATATTGTTCACTGTGTTTCCAGATGTGGAGCTAAGTCTGTCGATAAAAATCACCGGACCACACAAAGCATATTTCCCTCACTTTGCTGGATAATGGG